ATCAATCTTCCTCATCTTTGATTCTTTCACTCGCTTATTTAATATCCTCTATATATCAAAATAAATTGACTTAAAATACACCCAACTCTAATCCTATCATTACCATAACAAATGTATTTATTCCCAAATGGAATTACATTCACAGGCATAGAATTTAAGATTTAAAACATATGTTTTGGGGGACATGATTTATCTTTTCAAAGATGGCTTTTTGCTCAGTTCTAATAACTTTAGGGATAGGCATACAGAATGGGAGAGCCAGTGGTCCTGGCTGGGTCCAAGAAGCACTTCACCAATGGGTGAATCTAACTGCTTCCTCAGACCCAGGGAACTTAAGAGGAAACTCAGGGTTGGGGTTTGGTGGCAAATCTGAGTGTACCAACAAATAGCTTGGTTATTTAGTCACTGACCCTGCTAAATGTACAGATGAGGGTCCCCAGGTCTAGCAAACAAAAAATACAGGACATGTAGGTGAATTTGAACCCCAGATATAATGCAAGCAAGTTCTAAACATTTCTTGGGAAACACTTCTCTTAAACATTATTTGTCGAGTAGCTGAAATTCAAATTTAGCTGGGTATATTTTCACAGACACAACCTCAATAACCCTGTCTGTAATAGGGGAAGCAACCTGGATGAGGGTAATGCACTAAACAGAAATCCACAGGCTGTGGATTTCAGGCCTTCTGACCATTCCCAAATCTGAGCTCACTTGTGCTGACCTCAAATGCCTCCTATAGGCAGCCAAGCTGAGCACCAGCCTGTATGGAGGGGAAGGAATCAGGGACCTCACCAGGTGCAAATGAACTCAGGAGACCTCTGTACATCACAGTAGGACTATTTAGAGTACTGTGCAGGATTTAGGGGGCATATTGGGAGTGTGGGGACCCACTGAGGAAATGAGGACACCATGAAAGAGTGGTCCCATTGGTGGGGTAGCAGAACTTAGGTGGTTATGGCACAAATATGGTTTGAGGAAATGAGCACACACACAGAGGAGGTGTGCCCATGGCTGGGATTCAGCATTTTGGTTCCTGAATCACTTTGGAAATCTGTCCAGTATGATTTTGTGCCGCCATGAGCAACACTATTCATGAACTCTTATAGAAAACAAATGCTTCATTTTCTAAAGTGGACCTGGGCTGTCCTGGGCATTCTGAGGTGAACTTATTACAGACACTGAGGAGGAAAAGGAAAGAAAAGCAGAAAGAGAGAAAAATGGACAAAGACAGAGAGACAGATAAACAGGCATGGAGAAAGACACACACACACACAAACACAAACACTCTGAAGGAGCAAGCAGTGTGACCTTGCCTTCCCTTCCAGCATCTGACCCCTAATCCCAGCCACGTTGTGTCCTGAGCTGCAGAACCCACTGGATAGACAGGCCACCCGACCCCAACTCCTCAATTTCCTTATCCAACTTTCTCTTTAATATTGAAACTCAGACTCTGGTGTGACGCTGTGGGTTAATGCACCAGACTGCAAAGCCATTTGAACTGCAATGTCAGTGGTTCAAGCTCACCAGCATCTTCATGGAAACCCTATACAAGGTCGTTATGGTTAGAATTGACTCAACAGCACTTAACAACAATAACAGGGATTCATGAGATGATTATCTCTGTCATAAATGTAGAGAAAAAACAACGTAATTTTTTAAAAGAATTCTCATCACTGCCTTTTTTCTGCTTAATGAAATATTCCATAAAACATGTAAACCCACCCAAGCCTATGTGTTTGCCCTTTGCAGTGAGGACACATCCATGTCCTTTAACCCAGGACAGCTGTCTCTTCTCTCACCCCACAAGGAGCTCTGGTGCCACCACGGTCTGCTGAACAGAGGCCCAGAAACACTGCTGACAGGAAGTACTGCTGGTTTAAGTAGAGGAAACCCAGAATGTGTGACATAACCAGGGAAGCAACTACCACTTGGGAGTCTTGCTCTGGGTCTCCCAGAGATGGCAACAGCTTGAATACAACAGAGAGAATCCACCAAGGTCAGCAAGGGGAGAGTCCTTCACAATGGACAGTGGTATGCCCTGGAGAGTTTACCAGGCCCAATCCAGTCACTCTTCTCTGATATCCCACCCTCCACATGCTCCCGTGGGTGAGACAAAGCTTCCTTGTACCAGCAGACATGCTCTCAGTGGAAGTGACACATGAATGAGTATCCTCTTCAGTTGACTGGACAAAGGACAAATGGGTCTCTGGTGAGCTCTCAGCCCTACCCTGCAGTCCCCAAGGGCTCTGTGATATCAGATACATCTTACCACCTCCATCTTCCTCTGAAAGAATCTGTATACCGACTAACTACTAATTATTTCATACTGAAAACTGATACCTCATCACCTCTATTTGGAGTTGCAGAAGAACTAATTAGCAGGAAAATAAATATGTTAGTCACTTTGAAAATGATCAATTAGCAATGTAAGTGCTAAAACATTTTTTATCTGGAAAAAGAATTTATGAAAAAGAGTAAGAACCTTGATTTTGATCAATTTTAGGTAACACAATTAAACTGATGTGAGTCTCCCCCAGGGCAACATCTTAGGTAAATCTAGACATTGTTTTACTAATATTATCAAGAGCTTCTATTAATTCACCCAGAATGTGTCAGGTGATGCTTGGAATTCCACTAAATCTTCATATCTACTTACATTAAAAAATGTGTATTTTAACCTGCTAGTGTTCAAAGCTCATTTATTCCACCACTTCATTGTTAGTAGCACAGTATGAGACAAGTTTTACATTATTTTTGTAGCTGTGATGATAAGAGCTAAAGATAAAGAGGAGAGGTCAGGACATTGGAAGAGCTTGGCCAAATATGAAGATTCCATGTCTGTTCAGTGAATAAAGAGCTGCAGTTTCTGCATTGCACAGGAATGCATCTGAGCAAGCAGTTTCTATGTACATTCAATGTGGTTGCAGTGGTGCTGGCTGGAAGGGTCATTTGCTATTGTAGGCTTGTGTTGATGGAAACATTATCAACACAAGAAACCATGGGCTGGTTGGCGAGAAGGGTGTGTGATTTGGGGAGGAAAGGGAGGAGGGCCCCCAATGTCTCTACACCACCTGCTGACACTGGAGTCCAAGAGTTGCTCAGGGTCATGCCTTTGCTTGGGGATATTAAACCAGTGAGGACCACACAACAGTCAGAGCTGTTTACTTCTTGAGGTGAGTGCTGTTCAGATCCTTTCCAGAGATGGGAGATTAGACACAGACACCTGTGAGCTTGTTTCATGGTGGGGATTGGAGGAATAAGACCAAGCAGGATGGTGGTGTGAGTGTCCAGGGCTGAGGCCAAGCACAGGTCAGGGACATGGGGAAATCTTGGAGGCCTGCTAGCTAAGGAGACCAGATGTCTCCTTCTCTCTCCTCCCTTCTTCAGTGTTATTTTCCTCCTTAATTGGCCAATGCTGAGGTATTTTAAAGTCTGGTACAGGTTTGCACAAAAAAATAGAAGGTAAGTGAATACATGTGGAAACTTGAGCTGAAGCCAAGTCAAGAAGGAGGACACATCCAGAGGAAAGCCATCACTAAGACCAGGGAGGGGAACTCAGGGGCCTCACAACAGGTGGGGCTATCAGCAAGTAAGTGCCACTTCTTCTAACCTGTACAGACACCTTGCAAATTGGTCATGTTGTGGGTGTTCTGACCCAAGGCTGCATGAATGCTAAGTTCTTCTGTGTCTCCTTCTAGTCTTTTCCCTCCACTATAAATTCTGTTCAGAGATAGTTGTTGTTGTTGTTGTTATTAAGTGCCATTCTGACTCTAGTAGACTCTTGACAAATACTGTGAACAGTGTTTGTTGTGTTCCTTGACATGTTAGACTGTGAATGTATGTGTGCTTTTTAAAATGTGTGTGCTGCATTGGAGCCAGCGGTTGATGACCAAGATCCTCACAGCCTTTGGGGAAAATATGGGCTAGGAAATCTAGGGTCCACTGGGCCAGGAGTTCACCTTGTTTCTGACTGCCTACTCTACCTGTGGGAGCATGGTGGCTCCATACAATATGCACTGAACTGCAAACCACAAGGTCCACAGTTCAAGCCAATCCACTATTCCACAGGAGAAAGATGAGACTTTCTGCTCCCATAAAGATTAACAGCCTCAAAATCCTATACACAGTCACTATGAGTTGAAATCATCTCTGTGGCAGGTAACCATCACCACCACCTGTAGCCAACACGTCACTAGGAACACTTCAGAGAGAAAAGGATGGTCTGTGGTTCTTACAGACAGACATACAAAGTATCACTTTATTAGTTTCATCTTAAAAAGACTTCCAAAATGAGGCCCAGACTTCAGAGCTGACTACAGTGACACCTTTTGATCATTGTTTCTATGCTCAGTCTCCAACCTGTGGCCAGTGACTGACCTTGACATGGGCTGGTGATGTGATATCCCTTCTCTCTCCAAGAGGATGGCTTGTCTTCCCAGATCACATACAAACTCAAGTTCTCAGCCATCATACGAATGCTTCCATCCAAAATGCACTCATTCACTCTCCACCTGTTTTCCCATACCCTCCCATTTCATCCATCAATCATCCATCCATCCACCCACTCTTCTACTCATTCATCTATCCATCTGTCCATTCTGTTCCCCACCCATTGCTCCTCCCCTTCTCCACTCCTTTTTTGCCTCCTTTGCACAGCTTGAAGTGAAATTTCTGCAGTCTGCACCAGAAAACTTCCTCTCAGGTACCCTATGAACAACAGAGGACTCTATGTACAAATCCAGGGAAAAGGACAAAGACAGTGTGATGTTGGCAAATCCGCTCCACAAGTTCACAAGGCAAAGAAACCCACCCTCCTCATTTATTGAATCTGAAGGCACTTATTGAATTTCATCTATGTGCCAGAGACTGGGCAGGGATCCATGATATTGTTGGTGTATTACTGACTCCACTTGTTCAGGGCTAGAACATGAGTGAAGATGATGAGTAAATGACAATGACAATACAGAATGTGAGTGCGGACACACATGTGTACATGCACACTCACTACACATTCACTCACAATGCCCAAATGCACACTCACATTCTCACAAAATACTCAGACTCACATACTCATGTACACACAAATACAAAACTCACAGAAATACTCAGACACATACACAATACTCATATCTACATTCACACACACTCGCACACATACTTAGAACACATACTCATATTCACTCACACATATTCACAAGTGCACACTCAACCATGCACCCAAGTCACATGCGCTAACACAACTCATGTTCACATACACACAAACTGCTCCTGGGGGAGAAGCCAAGTAGGGCCTCTTCTGGTGCTCTCAACCGGATCCCACAGCTCTCAAATCACTCACCAATTGTTAATCCACTATCAGGGCCGTCTTCTTCATCTCTTAAGTTAGAATGCTCATTTCTTTCTTGTCCTTATAATGGTGATTTAAACATCACTTTCCTGAAGACTTTCTCTAGTCAACCCAAAATAACTTGTAACACCAGAACTTCCAAAAGGCAAATGTATTCTGAGAACCCTGTCTCTTAAGGTGTTTTACTTTCCTGAACCACCAAGAATTCTTGACTATGCATTCAGTATGGGGTTTCTTGATCCAGTGGCTTAACCTCTTTAACAGTATCTGAAATGCTCTTTAGTTTGGAATGCTTCATGTCCACCAAATGACCAGTTGTGAAGGTTATCCACGTAATGAAATCTGAATTTAAGGAATTATCTAAACTCATAAGGAACCCAAATATACTACATACACCAATATATACTTTACACATAGGCAGTAGTAATCTCTGCCATGGAAATCACATTTATTTCCAATTCCTTTTCTGAAAGGAATTGATTTTAAATCTCTCAGCTTTATCTATTCAAGGGATGCCTAGTCCCTTCTTATTTTCTTAATCATTAGGGACTGACTGCACACTCAGCTTCTCCTCACAGTGATTCCTGAAGTACTGGAGCTAAACAAGATATATGTTCCTTGGTACCAATCACATGTATCCCTGGCATGTTAACAAAGGCAATTCTGCCCTGTGTCTGCCCCTGCAGCACTACACATTAGCTACTCAAAGATGTGGAGCAGGACAGGCAGCACACTGGTTGGCTCTTGGAAGAAGGAGTTTCTGATAGTCACACTCAGGAAAGGGTTCCACATGTACAGAGGTCTTAAACTTTCCACGAGTCCCTTGTACCACCACTGACCACTCTCCCAGCAGGTGTCACCAGGGTTTTCAACATGCAGCCATTCCAGATCCACAGCAGAAAAGACACAACACCACAGCCTTAGGACATTAGTTTCCTGGGTTGCCTGCAACTTGCAAATGTGTTGGATCTCATCACTTTTAATGTTTCCAGCATTTTCTCTAATCTCCCTTGCCACACCACCAGGGTCCTCTCTTCCTCCATAAACCTCTCCAACTCAACCCACATGCCCTGTGATCCTGAACTGAACATGGCACTGGTGTTGTTTCAGAAAGAACTATTCTATCTTTCAAACTGTTAGAGAGCATTGGTAGAACATGGAGTTATAATACAACACACAATGTGGAGCTTCTAGAGCAACTTGTAAACTTGGGGAATGGAATTACTGACTTTTTAGTGAGCAATTGAGACTGATGATGGAATTCCTATTGTTGAACCACATATGTGCTATCTTACTTTTTTTCACTGTGTATTATCACAAAGTACATGTCTATTGCCAATAACTAATGCAAATATATATGGATTTATACTCTACATTTGTTAAATGCCAAAGAAGTTCCTGAGTGCCCTATTCATGTTGGTCTAAGTTCATAATCTAATAAATAACAACATGATAGATGAAGAAGATATTAAAATTATCAATAATTGCATTCTTCTTGGACCAAACACCAACATCCATGGAAGTGGCGGTCAAGAAATCAAACAATGTATCACTGTAGGTAAATTTGCTGCAGCCAAACTTTCATAAAATTTTAAAAAGAAAGATGTCACTTTAATAACAACTAAGGGGCATCTGACCCAAGCCACAGTCTTTTCTATTGTCTCAACTGCATGTGAAAATTGAATAATGAAAAGGAAAGACAGAAGAATTTCAAACTGTGATGTTGGCAAATAATATTTACTATATTTGTACTGCAAACTACAAAAAGAATGAACAAATTAGTCTTAGAAAAAACGCACCCATAATGCTCCTAAGAATCAAGGACAGAAAGACTTTTAGTAGCTTTACTTAGGATGCATCATCAGGAAAGATCAATAAATAGAAAACTAAAACAAGAGAAGTCCATCATGATATAGATTGACACAATAGACTCAGAAACTGATGGAAACATATCCACTAAAATCATGTAGAGGATGGAGGACCAGGCACTGTCTCATTCTGTTACACATGAAATCATCATGAGTCAGAGCCAACTCAACAGTAAATAATAAACAAGAAATTCAAGATTATCTGTAGTACATGTTCTTAAATGGGAGAGATTGTGTGTCAATTGATTCAAATTTTGCTTCCCAATATATGTCACCTAATAAATACATTTCAGGTTATAATAACTTGAAATTGTCAACTTCTTTGAGCCAGTCTTTCTTAACTTTAAACAACATAATTACAGTTTCTTTGTTAAGAATATAAAGACTTTCTGGAGGGCTGCCTTAACATCCTTATTCCTCAGGGTATAGATGAAGGGGTTCAAGGTGGGACTCACTGTAGAGTAGAGCACAGCCATGATCTTGCTCTTCTCTGGGGAGTAGTTGGATCCTGGGTTCAGGTAGGTGTAGATGATGGTGGAGTAATACATAGTAACCACGATGAGGTGAGATGAGCAGGTGGAGAAGGCATGAAGCTTTCCCTCTGCAGTGCGAATCTTCAAGATGGTGGAGACGATGAAGTTATAGGACACCATGGTGAGCAAGAAGTTCAACACAGCAAAGAAGATGTCTGCCACAACAGTCATGACGTCATTCATATATGTGGAGGAGCAGGAGAGTAGTAGAAGTGGGGGAATCTCACAGAAGAAGTGGTCTATCACGTTGGGCCCACAGAAGGTTAGTTGCAATATCAGACAAGTGTTAATCCCAGCCCCAAGCACACTGATGCTCCACACAGCTCCAGCCAGCACTGCACACACCTGAGGACTCATCATGGAGCTGTAGTGCAGGGGCTGGCAGATGGCCACGTAGCGATCATAGGCCATGGCTGTAAAGAGCAGCAACTCTGCTGCAACAGACCATGTCAGAAAGAACATCTGGGTCATGCAGCCTTCATATGAGATGGTTCTCTTCTCTGCAACCAAGATCTCCAATAGCTTGGGAACCACAGTACATGCACAGACAACATCCAACACAGACAAGTTGACCAGGAAGAAGTACATGGGGGTGTGGAGCCCAGAGCTGAACATAATGGCTGTGACAAAGAGGGAATTGCCACAGAGGGCCACTGTGTAGAGGATGAGAAAGAGAATAAAGAGGAGGACCTGAAGTTGTGGTGTCTCTGAGAATCCCTGAAGGACAAATTCTGTTACTACCGTCTGGTTACTCATGGTCTTTGACCAGTCTGTTGGGATTCTTGTCCTACAGGTGAGCTGGAAAAAAGCATGCTAAGTCAATTGTTGGTATGGCTAAGTCAAGATAACCCAATATTTCAGATTTTCCCAGAATTTGAAATAAGTTTATATTCCATTAAACCCAACCATCATCAGCTTACAAGGTTCTCTAGAAGAAACAAACAGTAATAAGGACAGTAATATTCAACTCTCCCTTCATTCCTTTCCCCGATTTCTTACAACTGTCTTCCCCATCTGCACTCTTTATACAGCAATGAGGTCTCACCAGACTGCACTTGGGCCACACCATGTCCCACTCCCACCCCTAATAATGGGATGTCTTCAATTTCTCATGTCCTCTTCTGACCATGAAAAACCCAACCAGCTTTGGGGATGAGGCCCAGCATCTCCAACAAAGCCTGGATCCATGAGCAGTCTGTGTGGGCCCACCTTAGTGCCCAGTCTATCCCTTAATCCTCTCCTCCATGATTCTCCCTGATGTATTATCCTACCATTTATGCCTAGAACAGGACTCATTCCTATTATCTTTCCTGTCCTCACGTGATTGGTTGGATGCCCCGAATGTGAAGTTTTGCACCAACTAGCAGGAGCTCTGGTAGTGTAGTGGTTATGAATCAGGCTAGGAACTGTAAGGTCAGCAGTTCAAAACTACCAGCTGTTGCGCGGGAGAAAGATGAGGCTTTCTGCTCCCATAAAGATTTACAATCTCGGAAACCCTGTACAGGGTCGCTATGAGTCGGAACCGACTCTATGGCACATAACAACAACAACAACAGCAGTAAGATTGTGACACACAGCCTGGGGCTTAGGGCAAGGAGTTCTGGAACCAACCAGAGGAGAGGCAGAAAGGCAGAATCAGGGCTAAGATTGGAACCTGCAATCAGAAGCCAAGTCACCAAAAGTGAGCATCTATGAGTTGTGGTTGGTCAAGAAACAGAATAGAAGAATAGGACAGTCTACCCAAATTCTCACCAAAAAGTTCAGAAGCATCTCTGTTCTGGCAGCAGAAACAAACTAAGGGTCAAGGGCAGTGAACACAGGAGGGAGCAGAGCATGGTCAGGGCCAATTTCTACTCTGCTTTTTGTCCATCCTGGTCCAGCATTTACACCCAAGGAAGGGCAGGAGTCAGGAAGCTGGAAAGGCAGCAACTAAGGCAGGTGCTGGAGGCTTCTGCCACACACCCATGGCTCTGCCTCCATGCTGCCTTCAGAATTAAGTCTGAGCTCCTTTATCCCATTCATGAGCTTTTAAAATCTGCCCCCTTCAAATCCAGACCACCTGGCATCCCTGAATAGAAGGGGACTTTCATGTGCTCCTCCACCAGCCTCTCTGGCAGGGGTACCATTGAAGATAGGTGTCAGTGTCACAGACTCATAAACCTCAGCTCCACTCAGCTTAACCGTCGACATTTCATGGAGACAATTACACATGCTGGTACACTATGCCATAGTGTCTTCTAAGGGGACATGATGTAGGACCCACCTGAAACCACCAGTATGGTTCACACACATGCAGATACCGGATGATTTTGAACAATCTATAAATTATTTCAGAGAATGCAATGTAACTGTTGTAGAATCAATCAGTATGATTTACTGTTGAGTTGAAGAGTATGTTTCTTCCATTCCATGCTCAGATAATATTGAAAGTTCAGTTTAAAAGGGAGTATGTGGGAATCATAGGCAATGTCATCTATGTGGATTTATGGCTAAATCTGCCACAAAGTACCACATGAGTGTTTCCTACCACAAGCACCTATGTCCTCACTGTTATAACTAGACCACCAAAGCAGCTGTATCCAAGTGAAACTCTCCGTAAGGAGCTCATGGCAGTGGGCTGAGGCATTTTAATTTTTGTCAACAACAAAGAGTCCTTCGTGTTGGAAGATCCCAGCAAGAACAGTAGAAGCCTCCCATTACTGAAATAGTTGTTAACTGCTTAGTTCTGTGTGATGGCGTACTAATGGGAACTCTTGAAAGTGTTACTAAACATGGTGTCCAGGTAATTAGACACGATGTCAGACTCATTCAGCATTTTTCCTCATCATGCACAACACCATGAAGCCAACTCTAGCAGGGAAGGAAGACTAAGCAGTTTCCAACACACCTCTCACCATGGGCAGTGCTATGAGGAGTGGGCCAACAGGCAGAAGGGTCCAACCTGAGTTTTGGAGAGGGCCATAGCACCAAGAGAGAGAACAGAAAACCCCACATACAACAGTTTTGCTCTTCTTCTCAGCCCCAGGGCTGCACTGACTTTGTAATGGATACTGTACTGGTCAGCAGATTTGGTAAAATGGTGATCAATGAAATCACCATCCTCTTTCAAATAGCAAAACTCAGTGTTAAGACATAATTCACCTTATAAAAGTCCAGGACAGAACACAGACACCCCAACATCACAGCTAAGGTACATGCACCCAGCAAGGAGAAATACCAAAACCTAAGGTCATCTCATCGCTAATACTTCACACATGTTTTTAGGATGGACTTGTTCCTAGAAAAGGCCATCATGTTATGTAAAGTGGAGGGTCAATGAGATGGATTGACACCATGGTAGCAATAATGGGTTCAAACCATAACAATTGTGAAGATGATGCAAGACTGAGCAACATTTCTCCTGTTGTGCATATGACTCACCATATCTAATAAGAACAAGGCCACCTGGGTGCTGGGAGGTGACAAGTCAAAATCAAGGTACAGACAGCCCATCCTTAATGTGATGATAACACCCAAAGGCAAGACTGAATATGAAGTAAGATGAAAAGGAGCTCAGAGCCAACCTCTATCTTGTCTTCCCCTCCTAAGGTCAAAAACAGCTCCAGGCATTGCAGCACCTACCTCTGAGGAAAGTGGTGCTGTCCTCAGCATTCCTAACAGGTGTCACAAGATAAGGATCCTGAGGAGGAGAGAGGGTAATAGCCACACAGCCCTGGGCTTCCCAGCCATTCACCAGGCCCAACACTGATGGAACAGCAGCATCCACGAGACATGTGCCGGGGACCAGTGAGTCCAAATTCCCACTTCCCTTCTGGTTCCAGGAGTTCTGTTGACAATGAAAATAATGAAAACTTACACTCCAAAACCAGAACTGCTCAGAGCTCATCTATAACCTAGATATGTGAGTGTGTGCATGAGACAGTGTGTGCTTGTGAGACTGGATGAAGAAATTTCTATAGAGCTTTCTTTATTTTTTCTTTATTTACTGCAGTATCTTTTGATATTTTTATCTTAACAAGAAACATGTATATTTCTAGAATACATTTTTAAAATTATACATACATATCCCATAAAATAGCAATGATTTCACAAGCTGTCTTTAATTTATTCAGTTTATCCTCAGACTTGATTAATGGGGCTTGGTTTGGGCTACATCAATCTTATAAAACAGAGTACTGGTGTGGTGCTGTGGGATAAACCACTGTACCACAACGTCAATTTGAATCATAAGGTGGGTGGTTCACACTCACCAGCTTATCCTTGAAAACCCTGTACATGTTCACTGTGAGTTGGAATCTCCTTAACACCACTTAACAACAATCTTATATTAAAAAATAGAGAGAGAGAGAGTCAGAGTCTCTTTAACATCATCAAGGGAAAAAAGGGTCCAAGATCAGCAATAAATAGACAGCATCGTTTTTTTAAAAAAAATTTAAATCATTTTTAAAGTGATGAACAAACAAAGGGTTCTTCTGTAAACCTAGGAACACTGCAGATGTCCCACACACCAGTGCCTGTAAGCCACCTCTGAAAGACTCAGGATGCAAACAGACATCACGGGTCCCCACAGGTGATATTTGGGACTCTGTGCAGCCTCCAGAGCCTAGAGTTGCCTGACTTTAAACTGAGGCAGCTCTGCACGTGATGAAACCAATTGAGGTTGCAGCCCACTGGGATTCTGGCTCTCAGTTCCACCACTTAGAAGACTCCAGAAGTCTCAGGAGCCTAGGAACTGGCCCAGGACCACAAGAGTCCCCAAGGCCAGCTAAGGAGAATGAGACCCCATGTAGGTGGAGGGTAACAGCCTGGAGACCTCCACAGGTTTCTTTTGGTGTTTGGCAAGTCACATCCAAATGTTGAATACAGCAACAAGAGATGGTGAAGCAGTCTATATGTCTGCTCTTCAGAATCACCATCTATTCTTCAAGGGGCCCTGGGGAGGCAGTTACAGGTAACAACAGACAAGGACACACTTTAAGCACTGTCCCCTTCATGAAAACAGAACCGCAGCTTCATGGAGATGGCATAGCTAGACTTGGCAAATGTGAAAACTGAGGCCCAGAGTGAGGAGTGAATTCACCTCAAATCACAGAAATGCTTACTACAGAGTGGGGGATGCAACCAGCAGTCTGATTGCCAAACACCCTGAAGAGCAGAATAGTTCAGAGGCAAGTAGGTAAATACTGGTGATTCCAGTCAAGGCAGACCCGGTGAATGGGGTGGAATGATGGGGTGGGCCCAGTGTGAGGTGTGACAGAGAGGGTGACAGCAAGGGTGCTGGGGCAAGTGTACTCTTCAAGACAGACCCATAATAGCACTGATAATGGGGTGGTTGACTCAGTCTGAGCACTCACAGCACTGTTCATGCATTAACTCACTTCATTTTGATAGTACACCTATGAAACTGGTGCTAAACCCAGCCCCATTACAGAAAAAGAAGCCTCCCAAACACCTCAGAGGGTGTTGCTGTAGAGGGAAGCCAGTGTCTAGAGTCCCCTTGGTCCCTCCAGCAGGTACCATGTTGTTTCTGTCCTTCCTGCCTCGCCCACTGACTTCATGGTATCATATTCTGTCTCCACAGTCCAGGCGCCTGTGCAGACAGTTCCTCCTCCCACAACATGGAAGACTTGCTTCCCTCAGTACTTGGTTCATCCATGCTTTTTCCACCACAGTCTGGAATCTCCTCCATCTGTTCTCTGACATGTTTTCTGACTGGTTCCTACTGAAGCACAGAATCTGCTTTCCACCCCATAGCCCAAACCCAATGCTGTTTCTGTTTCCTTAGCAATGTAGGGAGCTCTGGCTAGCTGGGCCTGACCTCATAACCACTTAAATGCTCCACCACAGAGCTCACCACTAGGCTCAAACTTAGGGCTTGACCTTGGGCTCTAATGAGCTGACACAAAAGACCAGTCAGTACATCAAGACCAAGCACCCCAAAACCTGGACTGGGACCTGGCCAAACCTGAGATTGATGGGGGAAGGAATAAACAGAGTTGGCAGCAGGATGGAGGTGACACTCTCATCTTGGAAACCTCATGTCCTTCTTGAAGACAACATGCCCATGTCTGCCCTGTAGCGAAGCAGTCCTCAGTGAATAAAACATTCTGACACTAGGCACATCACTTGCTAGGTCCAGACAGAATCTTGATGTACAAATGGTGAGCATTGTGAACATTTGTGTCTTCAATTAAAACATGAATGACTTCCAGCATTGTGGGATGAAATCAGATAACACATTGATGGTGCTGGCACTCACGTGAAATGTAGGTTTTCATGAACAGCAAGTGTGATTACTTCACCCTGGTCCCTCTCTCCTCTCTTCTACAACCATAAAGTGCTTGTCCTGAGACTGTAGATAGTGAGACCAATCAGAGCCTGTAGGATAGAATTCCAAAGAAGACAGTGTGGTAAAGATGCAAGACCCAGGCAAAATCAGAGACCTGAGGCACAGGAACAAAGAGCTGTGTGTGCCAAGAGAGGATTTGGGATGTCTGTTCAAATAGCATGGTGGTATTGGAGGCTCCTCAGCTGTACAGAAGCTCAGCTTTGAAGAAAGCTCACACGTAGGGCAGCATGGAGGACAGGTTGGAGGTGGACTGTAGGCAGCAGGGCTTTCTCCTAAGACTTTTTTCTTTTTAAACTTGGGTTATCATTTATTTCCTTTATTTTATTTTATTTTTAACTTTTTATTGCAAATTGAGTAAAGGTTTAAACTCAAGATCATCAGTTATACATTCAACAAACAATACACTTTGTTTTATTTCAATGATTGCAATCCCCTCTGTTGGAAAACAGTTACCCCATTTCTTCCCTGGGGTTCCTATGTCCACTGTATCCACCTTCCTAGCCATTCTCACCTTTGACATTAGGTACTTGTTGCCCCTTTGATTTAGATTTTTTTTTTTTTTTTTTTTTTTTTGTACAAAACAAAAAATAGATCTTCATTTAAATGTCCAGGGGCACAATTTGCAAGCCAGCCTCCTGCCCACATGCACACAGCTTTTCTTAGTCCACAGGCCTAAAGTCATCAGTTGCTCTATCTCTCCATGTCATCACCTCTGCCACCTTTTCTGTCACTGTTTCTCTGGGTATGAGCTCATGCTACACTCATGTTCTTCCTTTGTGATGGTCCTGGGATCCTCTGTTCCTGAAATGAAAGGTTAACCGCTCCCTTCTTTTAGTTACACATCTTCTACAATTACAGTCATGACAATAGCAATTTACCCTGCTCACAATTGAATCATAAAGTCCTATCATGATCATTCCCCACACCCTTTCACCAGATCTGTCTGGAAAGGAAGAAAACTTTTCTGTGGGGATTTTACCTTACTATTCCATTGTGTGTATGTACCAAAGTGTGTTTATACATTCTTCCATGATGGGCACTTAGATTCTCTCCAATTTTTTGCTACTGTGAATAGTGCTGCAGTGGACATTGGTATGCATATATCTACTCATGTTCTGGTTCATAGTTCTTATAGATATATATCAAGTATAGGAATTGCTGGATCATAAAGTATTTCTATTTCCAACTTTCTGAGGAAGTGCTATGCGGTTTTCCAGAGTAATTGAACCATTTACAGCCCCACCATCAATGTAAGAGGGTCCCAGTCCCTCCATACCCTCTCAAGCATTTCTTGTTTTTTTAACTTCACTGTTAATGCAGGTGTGAGATGGTATCTCACTGTTGTTTTTATTTGCATCTCTCTCAAACAATGGCTAAAGATCGTGAATATTTCTTCATGTTTGTTGGTTGCTTAAATGTCTTCCATGGTGAAGTGTCTGTTCATGCCTTTGCTCATTTTTCATTTGGGTTATCTGTCTTCTTCTTGTAGAGGTGTTGTCCTTTCCTTAAGATTAGTCTCTTGTCTGATATGTCATTGCAAAAAAAAAAAAAAAATCCCCAATCTATGTGCTTACTTTTTACTCTATTGATGAAATCTTTTGATGTGTATAAGGTTCTAATGTTTAGGTTGTCCCAGTCATCTATTTTCTCTTCTATTGTTTGTGTGCTTTTTGCAATGTTTGGTATGTGTGTCATGTATTACAGCCCCTATGTTTGTCCTTATTTTTTTCACTCCTGATCTTTGCGGTTCTGGGATTTGCATTTAGGTCTTTAATCCATGTTGAGTTTCATTTTTGTATGTGGTGTGAGGTATGGGACTTGTTTCATTCTTTTGTGAATCACTTTCCAGCTGTGCCAGCATCATTTGTTGAATAGATTATCTCTTCCCCATATAATGTATTTTGGCTCTTTGTCAAAGATCAGTTGACTGTATGTAGATGGATTAACTTCTGGGTTCTCAATTCTTTTCCATTGATCTATGTATCTTTCATTGTAAGGTACCAGGCTGTTTTGATCACTGTGGCTGTACAGTAAATTTTGAATTCAGGGAGTGAGAGGCCTCTAACTTTGTTCTTCTTCTTAACCAGTGTTTTACTTATCCAAGTCACTTTCCTTTCCATATAATGTTTGTGAGTATTTTTTCTATCCGTTTAAAGAATGTTGCTGGAATCTGGATTGGAATTGCATTATATCTGTAGATTGCTTTGGATCATATTGACATTTTCATAATGTTAAGTCTTCCTATCCATGAGCATGGTATAGTCTTACATTTTTGTAAAAAAAAAATTTTATTTCTTGTAGCAGTGTTTTATAGTTTTCTTTGTATGAGTCTTTTGTTTCTTAGGGTAGATTTATTGAAAAGTATTTCATCCTTTGGGCAGCCTTTGTAAATGGTATTGTTTTCCTAATTTTCTTTTCAGAGCTGTCTTTATTAGTATAAAGGAATCCAACTGATTTTTGTATGTTGATCTTGTACT